AGCTATTTGCAAAATATCAAAAGATTGAAAAAACAACCTATAGAATGGGAGAAAAATATTTGAAAACAATGTATCTGGTAAAGGGTTAATCATTAAAATGTCTAAGAAATTTTCAATAATAGCAATAATACAATTAAAAACTTAATTAAAAATAGGCTAAAGACATGTATAGACATTTTTCTAAAGTCATAATAATGGCCAACAGACAAATGAAAAATGCTCACTTTTAGTCATCACAGAAATGCATACTGAAAGCACAATGAGATATTACTTCACACATGTCATAATGGCTATTATCAAAAAAAAGAAAAAAAGTGTTGACAAGAACGTACAAAAATTGGAATCCTTGGACACTGTTGGTTAGAATGTAAAATAGTGCAGCCACTATGGAAAGCAATGTGGATGTTTCTCAAAAAAATAAAAAATATAATTACCATATGATCCAGCAATCTTACTTATATGCATTTATCTAAAAGTATTAAAAGCAAGATCTTAACTGATCTTGCAGCAGTATTTATTGGAGCAATATTCACTACAGACAAGATATATAAACAACCATACATGGATAAATTGATAAAGAAAATGTAGTATATGCACATAAGGAAATACTATTTAGTCTTACTAAAAGAGTTCTGAAATAATGACAGCATGATAAACCTTGAGGACATTATGCTAAGTAAAATAAGCTTGCCACAGAAGGACAAACACTGCATGATTGCACTGACAAGAATTAACATATATAGTCAAAGGCATAGCATCAAAGAGTGGAATGGTAGTTGCCAAGGGATGAAAGGATGGGGAAATGAGGACTTATAAATTAAGGTCAAAAAGTTTCAGTTAAGCAAGATAAATAAGCTTTAGAGATCTGCTATAGATCCTTGTACCTATTGTCAACAGTGGTGTATCATGAACTCAAAAATTCATCTAGAGAGTAGATCTTATGTTAAGTGTTCTTACCACAGTAAAATAAAATTTTAAAAGAAAGAAAAAATACAATGTAATCTTTCCCTGCCCCAAAAGAAAATAATTCTACCCAACAATCAAGCAGGCAAAGCAAAACATAGGTCTTCCCAAAGAAGAATTTCTCTTTAATCTCTACACATTATTTACTAATCATCTACTTCAGACATGATTTGCAATGCATTCTGGAGCTACCTAAAATATGGTCACAAAATATAAAGTTTGGAAATTGAAATGTCCTATAGGAATCATTTAGCTCAATTGTTTCATTCAACAAATGAAAAACTTATTTTGAAAAACAAGCATTCAAAGTCACCTATGCTCTAAGTCTCTTCCATCTAGATCAATAGTTCTGCCACAGCAAAAGTCCACATGCTTTCACAACATTTGTTGCCACAACATTTGTTGCTTAATACTTCTTTATAACATATCATACCAGCAGGCCATCATGCCACAAATTCTATTTAAAGATAAAGAATCCTATCCCAGCCAGATGATTTTTCATGCATGAATATAAGAGAGAGGTATTTTCAGATGCTCAAGAATAGAATGAACGTTTTTCTTGAAACATAACCTGCTTGACACAAGTATGTTATAATATTAGTAAATCTAAAAATATGTAAATGACCTATCTACTTTTATATTTTTAAAAGACTAAGTGTAATCAAATAATAAAAGCAGAAATAAATAAAATGTTAAAAGTAGAGTTAGTTTTATATATAAATCCCTTGTGATTTATATTTTTAAAAGAATAATGATAATAAAATAATAAAGGAAGAAATAATAAAAATTTAAATTACACGTGCTTTAAATTCCTCAAGCTTCACAAGGAGACATGTTCTTTATTGAATCACACTACTGGCCAGGTGTGGTGACTCATGCCTGTAATCCCCGAACTTTGGGAGGCCAAGGCTGGTGAATCACAAAGTCAGGAGTTCGAGACCAACCTGGCCAATATGGTGAAATGGCATCTCTACTAAAAATACAAAAATTATCTGGAGGTGGTGTTAGGCACCTGTAGTTCAAGCTACTGGGGAGGCCGAGGCAGGATAATCACTTGAATCCAGGAGGTAGAGGTTGCAGTGAGCCCAGATCGCACCACCGCACTCCAACCTGGGTGACAGAGTGAGATTGGGTCAAAAAAAAAAAACCACACTACTTACACATTGCCAAGGTAAACTCATACACTAGCCCTGTGCTTCAGAAATTCACCCCTTGGGCTATATATCTGAATGAAAATCATCTTAAATGTTCACCAAGCATAATGTCATGTTGTTATCAAATGTCACAAAACACATGACATAATGCCCACAAATCATGAGGTGTTCTCTTATTGCCAAAACTACATAGGAAATAAAATTAATTTTTAGTCAAATGGAAAAGCTTCTTTCACAGACTTATTGCTGAAATATCAAACTTCTGTTAAAAAGATAAACTGTTATCTGGGAGAAGTTTTCATGGTATTTGAAAGTTAAATAAAAATCTTTAAAAATGGAAGGTAACCATCACAATTTATTTTTCTTTGTTTTTTTCTTTGAGTTTGTTTTTTGTATTGTAATCATTTAAAGAGGGCATCCAACAAATCAGTATTTGCTTTCAAAATTACTTTTGTTCCTTTATTTTTAGCATTTTACTTATTGCCAATCAAGTTCTGCTTCCACTATGCTTTATATTTACATACATATGCCTCTACTGTAAGCAAGGCAATTTCATTCCTTGAAATGCAGAACTACATGTATTAGATATCTTCCTCTTTAAAGAAATGAGAAATTCTGGATTAAATTACTTCTTAGAAAATAAAAAAAATTATTAATGGCAAGGTTCAGATCAGACAAAATTATCTTGCTTACATATTAATATCCTACCTGTTCATGAATTGATCTCTTTAACCCCTTAATTTTCACGCAATTTTAAATCTTCCTTTTTACAGAAAATTTTGTTTGGGTCATTATCTTTGTCTTGTCTTTATCAAGGATTCTGACTGTCTTGGGGATTTGGAAAGTTTAAGTATAATTCTCGGGGAAAAAATCATGTCTCTCATACAAACAAAATGATCACATGTAAAAATTTTTATTTAACTCCTAATTAAGCAGTAAGATGTTCTGACTGGTTGAAAGAGTGTTTTAGAAGCTGGAGTATTTACGGAATGCTGAAATTCCTGGCTTAGATACAAAATTAGTACACGTCCCACAAAGCCATAGATGTTTGGGCTTATCTGTTTCATCAGAGAAATTATTTGTACCTCCACTTGTGGTTGGAGTTCACATACTGCTGCACTAAGTCTGTGCTTATTGTCATGCGTAAAGACCTGGTGAGTTATCTAGACAATCCTTGGGTAGTCTTCACTCCCACTTGGCATTTAAGTACATGCCACTCACCCTTTTGTTTAGGTTCATCTTTGACATAATTTTTCTGCCAGGGGTAATTTAAAAACTATGCAACTATCCTCAAAATTCAAGAGCAATATTTTTTTTGTATGGTCAAAAATGTGTAGTTTTCTCACTGAAAGCAATGCTATGCGTACGTAGCTCAGATTTCCCATCCTTTTCAGCAATTCGTCTTAGAATCTATACAAATATGAAGACCAAATGGAACAAAGGTAGTTATTGGATTTCACAGGAATGTTATTAAAAGTAACTTTTGAATATATGTAACTGATAATCACATATTCTCTTTAAAATATTAAGAAGAAAAATAGACAATTAGTGAAAGAGTTTGTGTTTGTGACCAGGGACGAACAGTTCCTTTAGAAAGACCATAGGAGAAGTAGCAGTCAGAACTAAACTTGAATACTTTGGACAGGGATTAAGTTTTCTTAAAGGCCATGAGACAGTTGAAGCTTGTATATAATCATTTCTACTTCTCTGATAAAACTCAATTCCAAGAAAACTTAGACATAATTGCTCCCACATTTGAAATTTGTGTAATGAATTGCTGATTGAAATTCAATGACTTTCACAAGTCTGATTTTTTCCCATGTCAGTTTCTTTGAAGATGTATTGATGTTGAGAAAATGATTCAAAGCTTTGAATGCAATTCAACATAGTATATGCAATTTTCAGTTCATTGAAGCAGAATTGAGCTCAAAATGTGGATTAGTATTTATATCTATAGGGAGGGGAATGTCTTTCCTTCTCTTTTAGGTTCTGATGTACAAAGCATTTTGATGACTTAGATACATTTCTTTTAATCAACTTTGAAGATAAATCAGAAATATTTGCTAAAATGATTGGAAACATTTTTTGACCTAGTTCTGAAAAAGAACTTGACTCTCTCGAATGGACATCCCTACAGGAGTAAAGAAGACCACACTTCCTTGGGGGAAAATGTGGAAACTAGATTTGCACACAACCACTCCTAATCATTTAAAATATATACAAAAATACATAACTGGAAATACAAGAAAGAGTTGTATTACCAGGAAAAGGAGCGTAGGAGAAAACCCTTAATTATTTTTTATAATCTTACAAACACATTCTAACAGGGGAGACATGAATAATATACCATAAAACCTCCTTGAAAATCCCAGCCTCATCATTGCCTTTGCCACACGGAGGGTAGTTATTCCCCAGAACTCTAATTATCCCATAGCCACATCCTACCTCTGAAACTCTCTGAAGCCCTTATCTACACTGGCTGCTTTCCCATTTGTTTCTTCTCCAAGCTTCCTGGATCTTGGTTTCCATTCTCTAACAGTTCTCACCACCTTGGTTACTGCCTTCTACATAATGAGGTTAGAACCAGGAGAAAAAGGGAATTTCAAGAGGGGAATATCAGGACACTATTCAGAGAGAGGAGAAGGGGTAAGGGTGTTTTATTATTTTTCTTATTACAAAACATACTAGATTTTTCTCCCTGTTACCCATGGAACCATTTTAGGTTGGGTGGTTTTGTGGGGATTTTTGTTTGTTTGTTTCCTCCACGGCCATCAAGACAGAGGAAACAGAACATTGGAACCAGTTAACTTTCTGATTCATGTTTTAGTGATCATGAATTACCTTTCATTCCTGCCATGCTGCTCATTGCTCCATGGCCGCTTTCTTTACTGACAGTTTCTTGTGTCTAGAAAATCTTTTCACTTTTTATTTTCACCTTGCTGACTCAAACTCCTTCTTCAAGTCTCTACAAAGTCAGTTCACAAAGGATGCTTTGCACCCAACCCGTGCTGAGCTCCCAGATGGATGTTCCCATTGCACCCCACGTGCTCGCTGATTAAAACAGTGGCTGCATTACATTACAATGACCTGTGGAGGCATTTAGAGAGAACCTTCTGAGTTTCCTTTCAGTGTTGTATTCCCAGTGTGCCCTGCAGGGTGGGGTAGGGTGCATAGTAGGGGCTCAATGCAATTATGTTGATCAGAATCGAACTGAACTGAAATAAAAAGGAATAAAAGAATAAAAAGTAGAAAATGCTCTGGTCATCCAGGACTGAAGACAGACTGGAGCAGTCTGTCTTCAAGAGTGCTGGGACACAGGTGGGAAACACCATAGGCTATTTTTCTGACTTGCTTTTGCCGATAAAAAAAAAAAAAGGCAGAAGTGTCAATGTGTTGTTGGGCCATAGATTGCAGTGGCCTTGTTTTCTTTTGTTCTATTTCACTTGTCATCACCATGAGAAGGCCACACCTTGGTGTATAGAAAGAAAAAACAGTTTCCCCTCCTATGTGTTCAACACTCACTACAGAACACTTCTATGGCCATATTTGTGGGGATTTTTCTCCACATCAAATAATTTTGAGATACCAGTTGGCTTTCCCACATTTTGATTCAATTCTGACTCTAACCTGAGTTTGTGTGGACACCCCACATATTAAAGGCTCAATCTCATGTGACTACCCTTCTGCCACAATTTCAACTTCAAATCATAAGAAGTAGGTTCTCCGCTTACCCACAACCCTGCCTCACTTTTGTGACAAATTAGAGATTTCCATGACCCCATTCTTGGGTTCAATTAATTTGTTAGAGCAGCTCACAGAACTCACTTGTATTTCCCAGTTTTTTTAATCTCAGTAAAGGACATGATAAAGGATACAGATTGCTATGGTTTGAATATTTGACACCTCCATTTCTCATGTTAAAATTTGATTCCTGGCCAGACGCAGTGGCTCATGCCTCTAATCCCAATGCTTTAGGAGGCCAAGGTAGATGGATCACTTGAAGCCAGGAGTTTGAGACCAGCCTGGGAAACATGGCAAAATCTCATCTCTACAAAAAACTAAAAAACAGCCAGGCATTGTAGCATGCACCTGTAATTCCAGCTAACTGGGGAGCTGAGGCAGGAAGATCACTTGAGCCTAGGAGGTCAAGCCTGCAGTGAGCTGTGTTCACACTAGTGAACTCCAGCCTGGGTGACAGAGTGAGACTCTGTCTCTAATAATAATAATAATAATAATAATAATAATAATAATAAATTAGCTGGTCATGGGGGTCTGCTTCTGTAGTCCTAGCTACTCTGGAGGCTGAAGTGGGAGGATTGCTTTAGCCCAGCAGTTTGAGGTTACAGTGAGCTATGATCACACCATTCCACTCCAGCCAGAGAGACAAAGCAAGATGTTCTCTCTACAAACAAATTTTTTTAAAAATTAATTCCTAATGTTAGAATGGTGTTTAATAGGATGTGTGAATCATTGGGGTGGGGGTGGGGGAATCCCTCATGAATAGATTAATGCTCTGCCTTGATGGGGTAGAGTGGCAGTGAGTGAGTTATTACTCTGTAAATTCCCCTAAAAAGCAGGTTGTTAAAAAGACCCTGGCACCTCCCTCCCCTCTCTTTTGGTTTCTCTCTCTTCTGCCATGTCACCTCTGCACATGCTGGCTCTGCTTCACCTTTCACCACGAGTGGAAGCTTCATGAGGCCCTCATCAGAAGCATATACTGGGGCCATGCTTTTGTACAGCCTGCAGAACTGTACGCCAAATAAACTTCTTTTCTTTGTACATTATCCAGATCATGTATTCCTTTACAATAACCTAAACATTCTAAGATATGGATAGACTCAGATTAAGAGATATGTTATGGTGAGGCCTGGAAGGGTCCTGACTGCAGGAGCTTCTGACCCCATGGAATTGGGGTACCTCACTTCATGACATATGAATGCATTTGCCAGGTGAATGTGCTCTGAACCTTGTACCTTTGAGATTTTTATGGAGTTTCATCACATAGGTATGATGATTATCTCAGTTGCCAGTCCCTCTCCTGTCTCTAAAGAATGGGGACTGGGGCTAAAAGTTCTAAGCCTCCAGTCTTGGCTTGGTCTTTCTGGCAACCAGCTCCCATCCAGGAGCCCAGCAATAGTCACCACATTAGAACATAAAACACCTCCATTACCCAGGAAGTACAAAGGGATTTAGTGATTCTCTGTCAGGAATTGGGATCAATGACCAAATATTAGAAAAAAAGATTATTCTTCCATCTCTATAGCCCAGAAAATTATAAAAGTTTAAGAAGCTCTGTGCTAGGACCTGGGGACAGAGACCAATATAAATACTTCTGTTTCATAGCTGTCAAATTACCCAGGCCACGGAAGATGAGACACATAAGACAGATTTACCAGAGCCAGTGCCAACCCACCCACCATCCTAAAGAGGGATGCGGGACTGTGTCATGCCATGGTCCAAAACAAAGCACCCAACGAGGTCCAGCCTAGACACACTCTACCCCAGCCAACCCACAGATTCCTGAGTAATAACAAAAGCCTGTGGCTTCAAGCTGCTGAGATTTGGGGCCATGTTTTGCGTACAACAAAGGGAGGCAGATATCAACAAGTAAGTTACTAAGGGGGAATGATAAATGGTCAACAGGTTTTTTTAAACACACACACAAAAAGGATTCCACTTTGTTAGTTACAAAAACTGTGAAAATCAATGCAATTAAATAAGTGATTAGCAATACATACCCTGAGTACATGCAGACGGATGAATCTCAGCTCTGCCACCTGCTAGTTTCAAGATCTTGAACATGTTATCTGCCAACTCTGAGCCTCCATTTCCTTATCTGTAAAATGAGAAAATAAGAGCATTTACCTGAAATGTTATTGCAAATAATACACAGAATGCATGTAAAGAGCATAAAACAAGGCTTATCAAGCATTAACTAGGAAATACACATGAATCATTATTTATAAACATGTAAGATGACAAGGTAGTTAATGCCATTGTTGGTTAAGAATATGGAAAGTGGTTTTTATAAAAAATAAATAAATAGCCTTTAAAAAAATGACAATGAGAATACCACATATCTGTAATTAAAAGTTATGAACAATTTTTTTAAAGGTACATACATTCTGAAAATTATACAAAGTAAAAACCAAGGCAAAAAGACAGAGAAGAGAACAGGGACCATGGGTGTGAGAACAGGGAGTAAGTGTCAACTTGACTGGATTGAAGGATGCAAAGTATTGATCCTGGGTGTGTCTGTCAGGGCATTGCTGAAAGAGATTAACATTTGAGTCAGTGGCTGGGAAAGGCATATCCATCCTTCATCTGGGTGGGCACCATCTAATTAGCTGCCAGTGTGACTAGAATTTAAAGCAGGCAGGAAAAAATTGTAAAAAGACCAGGCTGACCTAGCCTCTCAGGCTACATCTTTCTCCTGTGCTGGATGCTTCCTGCCCTCAAACATCAAACACCAAGTTCTTCAGTTTGGGACTCAAACTGGCCCTTCTTGCTGCTCAGGTTGCTGACGGCCTGTTGTGAGACCTAGTGATTGTGGGAGTTAATACTTAATAAATTTGACCCAGCAATCCCACTATTGGGTATATACCCAAAGGATTATAAATCATTCTATTATAAAGACACATGCACATGTATGTTCATAGCTATTTAGAATAGCAAAGACCTGAAACCAACCCAAATGCCCATCAACGATAGACTAGACAAGGAAAATGTGGCACATATACACCATAAATACTATCCAGCCATAAAAAAATGATGAGTTTGTGTCCTTTGGAGGGACATGGATGAATCTGGAAACCATCATTCTCAGCAAACTGACACAAGAACAGAAAACCAACCACCACATGTTCTCACTCATAGGCGGGTGAACAATGAGAACACATGGACACAGGGAGGGGAGCATCACACACTGGGGTCTGTTGGGGGGGCCAAGGGAGAGACAGCATTGGGGTGGGGAAGTCGGGGAGGGATAACATGGGGAGAAATGCCAGATGTAGATGTAGATGACTGGGGGATGGAGGCAGCAAACCACATTACCATGTGTGTACCTATGCAGCAATCCTGCATGATCTGCACACGTACCCCAGAACCTAAAGTAAAATTAAAAATAATAATAATAATGAAATCTCTCCCATATGTATATGCCTAAATGGTTCCCTAAATGGGAGAGTTTATTAACTCACCCAATCACAAGGTCCCACATATATACAGTAACATAAACATTCTAAGACATGGAAAACCATTCAGATTAAGAGATATGTTAATCTGAATGTGGGGTGTGTGTTTGTGTATGTGTGTGTGTGTGTGTGTTGTGTATCTCCCATATATATATATATCCTGTTACTTCTGCCCTTCTAGAGAACCTTGGCTAGCGCAATGGGCTTTAGGTTTAGTCCTGACTTTCTCTCAGTTCCACAGCTTCATCACTTGCAAACTACATGATGCTAAACAGCATATTAGATATCACTCCACTTTTTTCAACTCTTAAATAGGGAAAATAGCACACATCTTATATAGTTGCCATAAAGAGTAAATGTGATGCTGCCTATAAAGCAACTGGCTCATTTCCTCACACATGCTGGGTATAAAATTAATGATTGCTTCCTCCCTGATACCCTGAGTTTAGGAGACCATTTTCCTTTTGGGATTTTATTTCTTCTATGGTTGCACATATTGTGCTAAAGTAATGGTTCCACTTAGGCAAATAATTTCCCAATTAAGATTTTCTAAAACCACATCAGTGATTTGTCATTGTTGAGAGAATAGCCTCACTGTCACACCAAATGTTTTCCTTTTCCAGCCATGTGTACATTATGTGGACATCACTACTGTGAAATTAAGGTGGCTATAATTGACCACAGCTATACATACACATCCTCTGTACAATGCTAAAATAACGAAAGCTGAAATGGTATTGTCTTCTGAGGGACCTATTTTCCATAAAAATGTGGATTGGGTTTTCTATCTGTATCCTGTCATCTGCAATTGCCTTTATTGCTGCCCGGAGTGCCCTCAGCAGTCCCCGTGGTGCCATACCATTTCCTCGCTGGCCCACACAAGGGACCTTTATTTCTGAATCACTCATCGAGGAGTTAACTAAATAAGAACCAATGTGCTTGTGACACTTTGAAGTAAATGTTTATTCTGTTATATGCCAGCTGTCCAAGCAGATATTTGACTCAAATTGATTTCAATGACAATGTTAGGTTTGGATTTATGTAATTTTTACTGGAATTTACTTATGTAATTCAATATTTATTAGCATGCAAAGTAAGCAGTGAGAAAATTGTTTCTCTTTCTTATGGAAGTTTCTGTCTCCTTCAAAAATAAACAATGCTTTCATTTTTTCTGTAAATATTTTAATTTAAATTTTTATTGGCAAGAAACATTTCCAAGTGATTTTGCGTTAATGAAATAATAAACATGCTTCTGACAGATGGAGATTTTCTTGGAATTAATGTTATTTTTCCCTAAAAATAAGATCAAGTCTTCTGCTGTTTCAAAACAGCACTCCTATTGTTGCTAATTCAGGCTAAAACCCCTTGACTTTTATCCCTAGATTTCTTATGTGAGTGGCCTCCAACTCTTCCTTTGTCCTTGGATCTGATCTTAAGGCTGAAGATGTTGTATCTTCAATTGAGTTAGCTGCTTTGTGACCCCCGAAGAATTTCAGCATTAAGACAACAAAAACTTTTTAATTGTTTTACACCTAAAACTCTACAACAATATATCTCAAGTAGAGCTAAGTGTGTGGCTCTCCTGTCTACTATAGAAACTTCCTGCCTTGAGTTAGTGCTTCACACCATACTTTGTTATTGTAACACAGGAGAGTTTCTGGAAGGTTCTCACAAGAGCAGTAAGTACCAAATAAATGAGGATAAATGTACTGTTTTCTTACAACATTCTATTTTTCATTATGAAACATTCTAAGCATACAGACAATATAGACAAAATAAGCACCCAAGTGCTTACAATCCAGCTTTATTAAAGCAGCATTTTTAATAGTTTTTCCTCTTTTTGTAAGGAAATAATGCATGTTAGATAATAGATGAAGCCCAGTAATGTATAAATACTAAATACACAAATTTAGTATTCTTATCCTCTTGTTGCTAGAGATTTTAATAACTTCAGATTTATTATACTAGCAATTTTTTACGCATGTTTACATGTGTATAGTATGATGAGAATTTCTTTGGGTTGTAGTCCCAGAAAAGAAGGTGTATCATACATTCTGCACAATTACAGGGTCCAACTACTAGAGAATTATTTAAAGCAGTTGTAGAAATCTCCCTGCTCCCAGCAGTGTTTGATTTCTTCAATCAGGTATATGATTGAAATCTGACAATCAGACGCCTGCTTTTCAGTCTTACATTTATGATCTGGAAGCTCATTGTATTTGTAACAATCACTTCTCTGATTTGTAATAATGTTTGGCAGTTTATTATTAATTGATTTAGATTTCTTTTCTTTTCCTTTTCTTTTTTTTTTTTTTTTTTTTTTTTTTGACAGAGTTTCTCTCTTGTTGTCCAGGCTGGAGTCCAATGGCACGATCTTGGCTCACCACAACCTCTGTATCAAGTGATTCTCCTGCCTCAGCCTCCCGAATAGCTGGGATTACAGGCACAAACCACCATGCCTGGCTAATTTTGTATTTTTAGTAGAGACAGGGTTTCTTCACGTTGGTCAGTCTGGTCTCTAACTCCCAACCTCAGTTGATCTGCCTGCCTCGACCTCCCAAAGTACCAGAATTACAGGTGTGAGCCACTGCACCTGGCCCTAAATTTCTTTTCAAGTCTTTATTATATCCTTTATCTACTTTTCTATAAGATTTTTAAAAATTGATTTCAGGAATTCTTGATATGTTCTGAATTCTGATTCTAATCTGAGTCCTGAATTTTTATATTTTTCCTTTTACCTTTGGGGAAGCTGCCACTGTTGGGAGTGTCAACAAAAACAGTACATTTTGTCCTATTTTCCCTGTTCCTCTTTACTTTTTCTGCTATGTGCTTTTTAAAGAGAAGTGGCAGAGATGAGATAGAAGATGATTAGAATTAACTCACGGATATGTATTTGCTACCTTTTCTTCCTTTTGACTCATGAAAATTAAGAATACCTCCAAGGCCCATGTACCAGCCTTTTGGCTGAAGATAATGATGAAAACTTACTAAGATCCAAGACTGGCAGAGAAAGGCAAATACTTTAGGGTCTCACTTATATGTGGGGAATATAAAAGTCAAACTTAAAGAAGTAGAGAATAGATTGGTGATTACCAGAGGCTGGAAGAAGGGAAGGCAGGAAACAGGAAGATGCTGATCAAAGGGTACAAGTTTTCGTTAGACAAGACGAAGTTTCAGAGATCTGTTACACAGCATGGTGATGACAGTTAATATTAATGAATTATATATTTCAGAATTGCTAAAAAGGTAGATTTTTTCAATGTTTTTATGACAGAAAAGATGAGGATGAAATGATAGATAAGTTAATGAGCTGATATGATTATGCCACAATGTATTCATATATCAAAACATCTCCTTGCACCCTTTAAATACATACACTTATTATTTGTCACATAAAAATAAGGTAAGGTATCCTAGTTAAAAGGCAATGACTAAGAATCTTCCAGAAGCACAAATTCTATTTCCCCCCCCTACCTCATAGAATCAGGAGGTAATATAGCAAGGAAGGACCTTTGAGTTCATTTTGGCTGAACATTCCATTTTATAAGTGACTCCCGAAGTTTCAGACTTGAGTTTGTTTCAATAAGACAGATTTATTCATCTGCCTCCTTCCTTCACCACTTTTCTCTATTTTCTTTTGTAA